GGCCTCCGCGCCGGTGCCCCGTGAGGCAGTCGGCGCGCGGAAACTTTGGCGAGGAAAGCAGCGGCGCCGGGAGGATCGGGGTCGGGTCGGGCCCGGCGCTGCGCTGCGCGGCGGTGGCGCTGCGCTGAGCTGAGCTGCTCTCGGCTTGATTTCGCTTTCCCTTTGGTTCCTTCCCGCGGCCGCCGCCCCCTGCCCGGCCCGGCCTGGCCTGTTTCTGCGTGAGGTGCCGCTCGGGGCGCGTGGGGCCGCCTCGGCCCCTCTCAAACCCCTCGCCTGTCGCTCGCGGGGACGGCGCCCCGAGGCCTTTCGCCCGGGCTGGCGAGGCTGAGCGGGGAGCGAGCGGCTTCACACCCCCCTGCACCGCTGCCAGTGGCTTCTTTTCCCTCTTCCTCAGCCCCAGTGGCCTTATCCTCCCTTCAGAGGGAGCCGTGTGTGTACCTCGGGGGGTGCGTGTGACACACACATACATACACATGGGCACACAAACCTTTCTTGCACCCCTTTGAGAAAGGGCTGGTCCCCACCCCCGGCACCCCCTCTCAAGCAACCTCTTCCATTTGTCTCTCCGGGCAAGCCTCTTGCTCCAGGAACCCTTTAAAAGTCCATCCTTCCAGCTTGCGGTAGGTTGTAGCTTGCCACCATGCTGCTGCTTCCAGGAGTTGTTCGTGAATGAGCCAACATGTTGCACTCTTGATTTCCTATGGTATCTTCTCATTCCACCGATTCAGTTTAGGAGGTGAAGAGGAGGCCCCCCACCCCCACTGGCCCACTAAAATCCATTTTCTTTTGTTGCCTTTGCAGGTAAAGTGGAACTGCATGGGAAACTCATAGAAGTTGAACATTCAGTCCCTAAGAGACAACGGTAATTTCTTGTTTCTTTTTCTTTCTTTCTTTTTTTTTTTTTTTTTTTGGTGGCACTTAGCCTACCAGAGCAAAAAACCACAACCCCTTCCCCCCAGTGTAAAACAAACACACAAGTCTTGGGTTTGTGCTTGCCTGCCTTGTGGATAAACAAACTGCTTGCTTAAACATGTGCATGCATGCTGCACTGCCCCTCAGCTCCCCACAAAACCCCAAACCAGACAAAACCCCTAAAGCACTCTACTATCAAGAACATTGTAAGAATCAGGGCCCTTTCTTTAACTGGCCTGTAGTAAAATGCAAGCTTTTTGTGAAAGAGGGGATTGTGATCAAATAAAACAATTACTACCATTTTTAACTGTAAAGCTGCTGAGAAGAGTTAAATGTTGGGCATTAGCAGGAAATGGAATGGGATGTTTTGAATCGTATAACCAACAGCACTTGAGCTTTGCTCCCAACAAGAAAAAGCATCTTCTAAATATGCTGGTATCAAATCTTTGATTCTGCCATGTTGGAATGCGCAATATTTGCTACTCGTGTAGCATAAGCTTCATCTGTATTTAAGAAGGAGTTTATTTTTTTTGGTCATGTTTTGATCTGGCATCTACAGACATGAGGAAACTGGCGTCTCCCCAGGGAAGCCAGGATATATGCATCCTTTATATGTGTTTACAATTCTTTTTTTTCAAAATGATTGCTTCAGGGCTCAATAGTTTGAAATTTCGTGGGCCTAATGAGAAGGAGCAACACTCAGACTCTTAATGCAATGGACGTGTATAGCAATTCAGTCTGCCTCTTTCATAAATGTTTAGATTGTAGCGTGCTCCAGGTTTCTAGAGAGTAATACTAAAATAGATCAAACTTTCCACGTGCTTGCTCCTGACCTCCATTATGCAGACAGGCATACTTCTGAGATTAAATTATTTCACTTAAAAAGGCATGTCTGAAAAGTACACGTTTATTTAGAAAATACTATCTTTTGAATCGGTTGATTTAAAAAGATGTAAGTAATAGCTGCTTTATTGTTGGAAATCTAATCATGGGATTTTGAAAATTTAAATGTTAAATCTTTATTCAGCCTTGAAGGGAAACCAGAAAGTATGCTGGTGGGACTGTGCTGATCTAATGCTAGCAGGAAACAAAGTCTTTTAGATGTGTGTTTATGGCATATTAGTCCTTTTAGTTTGACCTTTTTTTCCTTTGGAGAGTAACATGTATGTAGCCTTTGTTGTTTGTCATGCAGGACATGTTTAAACTTCAGTTTACAATAGGATACATTCAGCTGTTTTGCTATATAATGATTTAAGTATTATGTATGGTTAAAATATTGTTAGATTTAAATCAAAATGTAGTGCACATGTAAGGATTGATCAGTTTCAAAACTGCATTCCAGTTTTTATAGTTTAATCTAGCAATTAAATTGTAAATAGACATTTATTAATCTCTGCACATAATTAAGTGTACTGATGTTTACAGTACTGTAAACAAATTGATTTTGTGCTCCCGAAGTAAACATTCTTATAGTTTAGAAAATCTTTTCTATATCATTGTTTAATGTTCAAATGTATGGTTTTCCTGTTCTTACAGAGTTCAGCGGGGAGAATAAAAACATGTTCCTCATGTGGGTATAGTGTGTGCTCACATTTTTATGGACTGACCCTATTAAAAATATACTTTATTTTATGTCTGTAGTCCCCTGGAGGAAATGTTATGCTGAACTTAATGTTAACATTTTGAGATACGTCGCATGGTTACAATCTTTAATTATATTTGCATTTTTGCAAATAATTAGTTAGCAAACCCCCACTATTGTTTAATCTGCAAGCCATATTTAATAAATATCTCTCATCAGTGCAATGTGGTTAAGAATGTTTTTGGAATAGTTCAGGTGGGACCTGTTTGAAATTTTAGAAATTCAGTATTTTTTTAAGTACCATCCAAGATAGAAGCCTGTTGAAAATTAATTCAGTAACTTCTATGTTAAAAGTTGCTTTCTTTTCAGAAGTGTACAGTACTTCCCTTATGCCAACTCAGCAATTTAGGATGCCCCCTCCCTTCACTCATTGCTTACTGGTTACATATCCAGAGTGACTAGCTATCTTGTAAAAAGTAAAGCCTTCAAATGTTGAATTAGTTAACTAACTTGGAAAGATACTTATTTTTGCATGTTCGGAGTATGCCTTTTTAAAAAAACCCAACCTGGTATATTTAAAAGGCGGATGGCAAATAGAGCTAGTAATGAGATTTCTGTGGGGAGTCTTCTGTGTGGTGATCAGAGGCCCACCTAATTTGTTGGTATGTAGAAAGTCTAGATTCAGTTTTCCGTGGAGCCCAGCTTGCTGGTGTGGTGTGATTTGGGTTTCTTAGCTGAATGTCACAGGAAAGAAAGTTATGTGGATATTGGTCAAGCCTTTCTTTTAGCAGAAGTGTACAATTAACAGATTTGGTCAGATAAGATAACTTTTGCTGTTGTTCTTCTGAAGTACATGTGTAGTACTTCAAAATTATTCATCATACTGGATTGACCTCCCACATTGCTGCCTGGGGAGTTCCTACTCAATTTATTAATCCAGTTTTAAAAAAATGCATTTTTAACAGGATATGCATATTAATGTTTACAAACAGTTTTCTTATATAGTCTTTCACCCCCTTCATCCCCAGATAATACCCCCAGTATTAAGGGTGGGGGTCCTCTGTATCCTTATGTTGTAGGGAGGGTGAAAAAGTGTGGTTACTTAGGGCTGCTATAAAGCTGAATTGAGTCCAGAAGACCAATCATTGTAAACTGAGCTTGATTTGTTATTCAAAATGAAATTCTTAGGCCAGGAGTCACTGCATTCCAACCCTTGTTGGGAGGTTTGGATTTGATGTGGGCACACCCACATCTGCAAAAAATACCTTTATACCTGCTGTGAGAGGCAGGTTGGGAGGATGGTGCTGTAGGACAGTCCTTGAAACATTAAAAGACATGTGACTACAAATTGAAAGAGGGAGGCCTAGTTCATGTTTTGGAGAACTGTTTAATAAGCCAAAAGTTGGTTCTTGACTGACTTCTGAAATCTCAAGAGCATGTGGAAGGAATGTAGAATTTCTGCATTCAGACCTTTATGAATTGTGGAAGGCTACTGCAATATTTAGAGGTTTAGGTCACTCAATTCAAAACTTGGAGAAGGCATTGTAAAAATTAGAATGCTAATTATATTTCTGAAAAGAATGCAGAGTGTTGTTAGTCATGATCACCGCTTCATATTCGTTCTATTCTGAGGCACAAAAATGCAGTAAGGAGTGATAAATATATCTGCATGTTATGTTTTACATATGAACTCTTTAGGTAGTCCCTTACTGTGATCCAAGAGCAGCTGGTATCTACTAGGGCAATGTACATGCTGCAATCTGATTATTCAAACAGCACTGATGTCACTTGTTGTGTGATGGGCAGTTTAGCTTAGTGGGGCGGGGGAGGGTAGTGCTGACACTAGCCACCTGGGGTTGCATATTGAGCCAGCCCTTAAAGATTGGTCCTTGTAAATTAAATAGACTTTTCTTTATGTAAAATTAAAATCTGCTTTACTTTATAGAAAACTTGCTCTGATTCCCTTTTTAAGAGGTTGAACCTGAGTTCCGGTAATTGTGAGGGATCTTTTAGTTGGGAGGTAAGGCATTGTCCTACCTCTGACTGCCTTGCTTCGTATTTCAGAATAGGTGCAGCAAATTCCTTCTTTGAGTGGTGTGTGTATGTGTGGCCTCTCTTTTTGTTGGTTGGGGTGTAATAATGTATTGTAGGTAGGCCAGAATTCTTTTTAACCAAGCATTTTGTTCCTTAATAAATTTATTGCAGGGACCTAAGTTTTTTAATTAGTTGAGGTTCAGGTGAAATACAATGTGAAGTTTGGTTTTGAAAGAGAAATTTTTCTTTAGGTGGAAAAAATGCCCCCTGATTAGTGATATGCAAATAAGTTTCAAGCTGTTGGTTATGCATTAAAACTTGTGTACCTAGGTTAATGTTAATACAAATAGGATATGTGTCTCTGGGATGTGGGGAGAAATGGCTTATTGTCTAAAATGCTTGTGTGAGCTCCCCATGGTGGCTAAGCAATCTAAAAGGTCAGATTTTTAGTTAATGACAGTACTCCAGATTTTGTTTTGAAATAGCATGTGCCTCTAAAGTAAGGGAAAATAGGCAGATGTTAGTAAACTCATACCTAAATATGTAAAATTGAAGTACAGACCATTGCTATTTTTATGGACATATTCATGCTCTCTTTGTGACTGAATATTTAATATGGCTCATACTTGAGTGAGAATCTGTTGCAAGAATTAGGAGTCAAAGTTCTGCCTAGCAGTCCTGCCTCTCTGTCAGGTTTTATTCAGATGGGGACAGAAAACTCTAAGCAAGTTTATTAATAGGAATGGTGGAAAACCTCAGTCTGGCTAGTTGTTATGGCTACCTGTGCATGCAGCAAGTTGTTATAGTGGGTAGGAATTATAGTTTGTGGAGTTAGTGGAGACTTGATTTGAGAAGATACAAGTTGCTTAGCATGCATCTTTTTCACAGTAAGCCTCTTTTATAGCAGCTTTTTAAAATAAGTCTGATTCATTTCTCTCAAATTACTTTTTAGACTAAAAATCCCAATATATTCTCCTTCAGGAAGTAGACTCTAAATTCTGTTCAGGCAATGGCAAATTTCAATAATTTTAAGTAATTGTAATAAAAGGACTAAAAATATGGTCAGGAAATGGTTAATTGGATCCCTCTCGCCCCCCCCCAAATATGCAACTGGAACACCTGAAATGTGTAGCAGTGCTTTACACATGAAGATATTGCTTGAGATGTTTCAGAAGTTTGACATTTTGTTGTAGCGTTCAGTAACCTACTTCTTAAATGATACTTTTCATAGAGACCACGCTATTCCAGTACTTTGGATTCTTCCTTGGCTTCCAGTTAGCTTCTAGGTCAAGGTTTTATGTTGCTTTTGACATGCCCTAATGGGTTTCTGACTT